AGTGGATTCAAGGACAACCTGGGCTACAGAGACCATCATACTATAGAATTGATTCAAGGACAACCTGGGCTACAGAGACCAGCATACTATAGAGTGGATTCAAGGACAACCTGGGCTACAGAGACTGTCCTACTATACAGTGGATTCAAGGACAACCTGGGCTACACCATTTTTTTCCATTATGCTAGGAAGTACTTGTAGTCCTATACCCAAGCCCATCTTCCAGCATGATTTGGAGTTTATATTGGGAAGAGCAGAACAAAACAGGCATTACAAGGAACTTTTCCATGGTAAGAGTGTCTCAATTTGTGTACAATACTTTCATATATGTATCATGTTTACTAACTTAGTTCATCCCCCCAAACTATTTGTGCCCTATTTATATGAGACAGAGAAAAACACTGAATACTTTATGTTGTCTTGATCCCAGGTAGTTTGTTCAGTGGGGGGAGGAGGGGTCAGAGGACAATTTGAGGGTCAGTTCTTGCCTGCTACCACATGGATCCCAGCGATGGATCTCAGATAGTTAGTATGGGCAGCAAGTGCCTTTACCTACAATAGGGTAGGAAAGAATTCATAGGTCACAAAAGCCAGGTTTTGTAGGTTTGGAGTTGGTGACCTGGAGTGGGATTGCTAACTGCTACATACCAACTGTGTGTCCACTCATTTCCTCGACTCTTGGTTTCTTCATCTGTGAGAAAGAAATAACACACACTTCTTCACAGGTGTGTGGCAGCTAATGTGAGGCATCCACCTGATGGGTGTTAAGGGATTCTCAGATAACTCATTACGTCTGAGTGTGCTCACTGGACATGCCTGGGAAAGATTGCAGTATGAATCACTGGGCTGAGTCAACTTTATCTGCTAATGGCAAACTTGGGCAGTCCTCTAGAGTCATGGACATTAGTCCTCCGTCCTTCAACATAACAACTTCAAGTACTCTGATCTTCAGACTCGGAGACCTACACCAGTTCCCTCCCAACCCCTTATTTTCTTGGATCCTCAGCCTAAGACTGAGAGCTACATCATCAGCTTTTCTGGTTCCCAGGTCGTGGGACTTGGATTGAGGTATGTCACAGATGTCTTCCATGGTTGCCAGCCTTGCTGGCAGCATATTGTGAGGCTTAGCCTTGATGATGAACCCCCTCCTGCATATATACCCTATTAATTCTTTTCCTAATTCTTTCAACTGGGAGCTACCAGTTGGATAGGATCTCCACTCTTCATCTACATCCCCATGCTGATCCATGTTGCCACATTCCAACAACATGGTGTCTATAAGAAGAATGCTTTCCAGGGAGGCTAGGTTGGGAAGATTGGTGTGGACCCACATTTGCTGACATGATGTAACTATCAGACAGCCTCAGCACAGCTTATAGGGATGATTAGAACCTTCCTGGCTCTTGAGTCTAAAGAAGCTACCACTGAGGGGCCAGATCATAGGAATGTACAGAATAAGACTGTGGTGGTTTGAATAAAATGACCTCCATAAGCTCTTAGAGCTATTAGTAGGTGTGGCCATGTTGGAGTAGGTGTGCCACTGGGGAACAGGCCTTGAAGTTTCAGAAGCTCAAGCCAGGTTTAGTAGCTCACTCTTTCTTCTTGCTGCTTGCCAGTCTGGATGTTGAACTCTCAGCCTCTCTCCAGCACACTGCCTGCCTGCATACTGCCAAGCAATATTACCACGGCAATAATGGACTAAACCTCTCACCTGTAAGCCAGCCCCAACTAACTGTTTTCCTTTATGAGAGTTGCCATGGTCATGGTGTCTCTTCACAGCAATAGAAACCCTAAGACAAAGACCTAACTAAGGCAGTGCCAGGTCCTGGACTCAATGCAGTTCAAATACTGCCGTACTATGAACATGTGGGATATTTTCTTCATTGTAAGCTTGGGAGATTATGGGTACCTACTTTGATGCACCTCAGTATACCAGCCTCTCTTCTCCTAGGAAGAAATCACAAAGTTCTCCCTAATGCAATGGTTCTCAACCTTCCTAATGCTGTGACCCTTTAGTACAGTTCCTTATGCTGTGGTGACCCCAACCATAACATTATTTTGTTGCTACTTCTTAGCCACAATTTTGCTATTGTTATGAATCCTAATGTAAATATCCGATATGCAGGATATCTGATGTGCGACCCCAGTGGTGTAAAATGGCTGCCCTAAGGCCTTTTATTCTTTGGTTCTATGTCATGATCCTTTCTATCCTAACGTCTCCCACTATAGTCTAAGGAAAGCACATACTGCTTTTAGGGCTCTAGGGAGTTGGTCAAAGAGTGAGAGGCATTTAATACCTAGCTGCACAAAGGCGGTTGCAACAGATCACCTGCCAGGTGGTCTTTTACTCAGGAGAACTCTGAGGGATAGGGAGTGAAGCTAGGTTTAAGTGAAGGAGGGGGCCCGAAGGGCCAAACTGAGGTGTGGGTTGAGCATCAGAGAAGCCCCGACTCCACAGTCGGGTCTGCTCGTCCTGGTTGTCCCCATTCTGGAATGGGAAGGCGGTAAGAATGCATTTACTGAGGCACCTGAGCCGTGTGGTAGCAGGCGCTAACGGACTGACCACTTCACTTTGGGCGCAGCCAGAGTTTATGCTGGAACCTCTGAGCACTCGGTCCCGCAGCCCGACCTGCGCATGCGCCCCGGGCCAGCCAGGTGAGAGTGCCGTGGTAGCCCTCGCACCTGGGCTTTAACCCTTCCGGGTCACGGGCGTGGACGAATGCCGGGTGGGAGAAAAGAAGAAGGTCGTGAACCCCCCCCCGGGGTCTGAACGGCATTTCCACGACCTTCCAGACTGTGGTCTGGTGCCCTCCTCGTTCGGGCGGGAGGGGGGTAAGCGCGGGGCGGAGCGAAGTCTCGCGAG